TGACCCGCTGCGCCGCACCCCTGTCCAGCCCCGCCGGGGACGGGGTGCCCGCCACTCCCTGCCGCCTGTCCCCCGGACTCAAGCTGCAGAGACACCCCGCCCCTGCGGGCAACAGGGTGCACAGGCTCCCCGCGGCCACGTATCGCCGGGTGTCGGGCTGCACAGCCACCCTGCACACATGTATTCCAGGCATTGGGGTATGTGGATGCTCTGCACCCAAATATCCCGCTAGGATCAGCGTGTACAGCCGCTCCGCATCCCAACTCCACCAGGCAACAGGGTGCATGGCCACACTGCATCTCATGTCCTGTGCTGTTGGGGTGCATGGCTGCATGCGCAACACCCCTTGGTGTCAGGATGCACAACTGCTCCATGCTCACGGTGCCAGGTGGCACCCCTACCCAGCATCCATGTTTCACCCAGTGTCAGGGTGCATGGCAGTGCGCACCAATATCCTCCTGCCTTCATGATGCACAGCATGTGTGCGCACTCCTCGGGTGTCAGCGCACATGCATTCATACTTCTCGTAGGAGACAGGATGTGTGTGCACATGCATACAATCCGCAGGTGTCAGGGCACAGACACATCCATCAAGTTTTGGGGTGCAGACATTTGCATGCCTACATGTCTGATGTGTGAAGAGTCAGACATGGACACACCTGGGTGGCAAGGGTGCACACACACATACCCAGCTCTCAGGGCACAGATGTGCACACATGTGTCTTGGGTGTAGGAAGCAGACACACATGCTCCCTGGGTGTTGGAGACACAGATACGGCCAAGCTGGGATGAGTCTACACACATTTTTTCCTCCCTTTTTTTGAAACGGAAAGCTGCTGTGTCAAGGTTCTGAATGGGCAGCAGCCCCTGTGCAAGGCTGAAGGCATCACTGCAAGCAGGTGTTTAAAACAGGAACAGGGAGAGTTGTGTAGAGGCTATGTTGTGAGATTTTATGTGCATGTGGTTTGTTTGTTTTTAAAGTTGCAAATAAACTTTAGACCACAGATTAAAACCTGTCAATTATAGACAAGCTGTTTTTCTTTCTCTTCCAGGCAGACATGGGTTTCTACAAAATCTAAATACTTGACCTGATACCTCCCACCCAGTTTATATTTTGTACTAAAGGAGAAGCTAAGTGGGATAGTAGTATTTTCACCATCATTTTTAATCTAAGCAAGCTATTTGGTGTTATCCTTTTGTGTTCACAGCCTAGTCTTTGTAGCAGGAAAGCTAAGCCCATAGGTAACATTTGTAGGATGAGAATTTGATAGCAAAGTCGAGCAGTGCCTTAAAAGATTGCATGAAAACTCTCTTTAATAAGTATTGTTCCCAGAGAATAAAAAAATGTGAAGTGTGATAGTAATTCCATATAGGGTGTCTACATTCATTCTATGTGTATAGTCACGTTTTCATTAGTGGTATTTGGGTTTTGGAACAATTTGTATCCAATATCTGTTTTACTTGGAACAGGTATTATAATAGTGTGGGGCATAATGTTAAGAAGTTAGTAAAAAAGTACATCTTTTGGATGATGAATTAGTTTTGAACCAATTTGTGGTTGATGCTCACAACTGGCAGTCCAAAGACATGAGTTCAGTCCCTACTCTTCCAGAGCTAATCTTGGGTACATATTGCCCACACAAGTGACACCAGTAGTGTAGGACTTCTCTAAAGATGTGGATTAAAAATAAGGTCCTAGCATGTCAGATTGGGTGCACTGACTATCTGTTTTAATAAAGTTCAGCTGTTACCATTCTTTATTATAAATGAAGAGTATGTTTAGATGGATAGACATAATTTGTTAGTCATTGTTCCTGAGGAACTTTACAATTGCTGGGTAAAAGATTTTACATAAATGTAAAGTATTACTCATTTCATTGTGTTGAAAATTAAATATACTTCCAGTTTTAGGTGCAGTTTAACATTCAAGTCATGAGAGTCTCCTAATAGCAAAGGAATTTGCTTTTCAGTATTATCCCTGTAACTCCAGCTTGCTCTTGCTGCTGATAAAGCTGGTTCACAAAAAGAGCAACATGATTATTTGTGTCTTTCACCTTCAAAGTTTGCTGCAAACAATAATCCTCATAGAACAATGTTACAAATACTAGTTTGCTAACTCCATTTAGTAAAGGGGAGGAAATGGCAATAGTTTACAAATTTGAGTTGCAAAAATGAGCACTGCAGGACTGAGAATGAGGTCTGTCTCCTAGAGCTGCATTTGCTGTCCAGTGAGCATTAGTGCTTTAAGGGAGCATTTAAAAATAACTTGGATTTATTAGGTGGGGTTTACCCCCTGTCATCTGGGGCAGCTTGTGTTGCTGTGTCAGCCTGATGTAGATGTGACAATACAACTGCAGTCATCTGTGCCTCACCTCTTCCAGCTGAGAGCAGAGATAGGTCTACTCCAGGCAGCTGCGTACCGTCTGTTCTAGCAACAGCCTTACCGTGGAATGCCCTTTTAAATGGTGGTACTCAGCAATAGCTGCTTAGCTTTCAGCATAGTAACATGTTTGTGTGTTTGTCTAGGGTGAAAGAAGGCACCATGTTCAATAAATACACCAGTAAGGTATTTACCAATTACTTCTTAACATTGAAGGTCATTTCAGCTGCAGGTTTTCTTCTGGTTGCTGTTGTTTCTCTGCTATGAAATGCTTTTCCTTTTTTCCATCCTGTTTCTCCAGTTCATTATGTTATTTTCAGACACTGGAATGAAAATTGTGTAATACAGACAGGTATGCTTATGAAGATACTTTTCCCAAAGGAAGTTCAGGTTTTTCTTTCCTGATTTTTTTTTTTCCCCCCCCTTGAATGATTGTCACAAACTTTTGATATCTGGGAGATGGCTTCATAGCTAAAGATTGATAACTATCTTCTGTATCTCCTAGTCAGTAATTAAGGGTGAAAAGTTGACTTCTGAGGCAGGAAAAGGTTTAAATTTCCAGCTGTTAGTGCCACATTTTTAGTACCTTAGAGGAAATATTATAGTATTTCAGCAGAAACCCCATATCAAAAAGAGGCAAATTGAAGGAAGTGTTTCTTACGAGAAAGAAGAAAAAACATTTGAGCTTGGGGTCCCCTGTCATACATTGTGTGGAATCAGTTAAATACATCAGCTTTCTTGTCCTTCTGTGCAATCTTTGGTGACTGAGGGGATCTTCTGTCAGCTGGAAAAGAGAAGAATACTTCCTTTAACACATCATTTTTTAAAAGTACAATTATCAGTTGTAATGTTTTGTGTACTCTGTGGTGTAAAGGGAAGTGGTATTATTTTGGAAGTGTACTTGCAGAAACTGTGTAAAGATTAGATAAAAAAAGACAGTGAAATTCTGTTTCAAAGAAAGGGAAACTGTGAATATTGTACAAAAAATGTGGATCTGTGCCCCTACATAGTACAGTTGCCAGAATTTGGAATTGAAATATTTGCAGGCTGTTTGTCCCACTAGTTACAATTTTTCCCAAATTAGACTTTCGTTATATTTTTACTCTTGAAAGATTCGCTATTTAACTTTTCCTTTTTTAGAGCTATAGTTAAGCAACATAAGGACATACGGCGGTTACTTTCCTATTTACACTGCAAAAATTTTTCCTTATGCTCACGGTCTTTTTGCTCTTTTTCGCTCTTGTCTGTGCACATTGGGACAGACCCAGCCTTCTTGAGCAAAGGCACTTGACTAAAAAGAAGATAAATAGGCAGCAAAAGCAGCCATCCACCCATTCCCTGCTACGTGCACAAAGAATAAAAGTGGCTAGTATATGGTTAACTGTTCAGCTCCGTATCTAGTAGAACGGTTTGGGAGAGGGTAAATCTCAGTGGGGAAAGAACTGCCTTCACCTTACTAGGAAGTGGCTCAGCGGAAAGTTTTAGTAACAGGCATATAGGTAACTCTGTGTTATGATACTGTTTGCATTAAGCTTGATTGTGCCTATTTTCCCTGTGTTATGAGCATTTTCAAGACGCGCTCAGTGACAGTGTACTGTACTTGTTAATGTGTAGGGGGCTGGCATCTTCAGCTAGCAGACCTCGTGAAGACAGTTGGTTAAAATCGCTATTTGTTCGCAAAGTCGATCCAAGGAAAGATGCTCACTCCAACCTTCTAGCCAAAAGAGAGACCAGCAGTCTGTATAAACTACAGAGTGAGTGATATTTCTATATTTAACATTACCATTTCTTTATACGGTTCCTGCATTTCTCACGTAATGTTGTTGTTTCAGTTCACAATGTAAAACCAGAATGTCTAGAAGCCTACAACAAGCTTTGGTAAGTGTGCGTATTTTCACATTTTAGACATGGTGATTTGATCACAAGCTGTTCTGAAAATTGGCAAATATAATTATTTAGAGGGGAGGTGGAAAAATTCTGCTTTTACTTTCAAGGTATGATGTTAAATAGATCATATTATTCTTGGAGAGAGATGGCAAAAGATACGTTACTCGGTTCACCCCCTGCCTTCTCTCTTGGAGGTGTCATTTTCCTAAGCTGCAATTTAGGATGATGCTTTTTGTGAAAACATTGGTGACATTTGTTGGAACAGCTCTCCCCCTTCCCTTAGTTGTCTTACAATTGCTGGTCCACTCGGGTAGATCCTGGTATGCTAGCATGTCCCACTCCAGCTGCCATGTAGGAATGTGTTGACGGTGGTTATTGTCTGCATACTAGAAGGAAAGGGAGAGATGACTGGTAAGTAAAACTACATGCCAGTATTAAACTGAAGTATAACTTTGAGGAGATTTTAAAAGCACAGGTGTTGACTTTCAGCTCATCTATATCCCTCTACAAAAGTAACATTACTGGGATCTACTCTTAAAGAGCTATGCAAATCCTCGGGTAGGATCTTTGCGTTGAGGTAATACCCTCCAAAGGGAGCAGTACTGTTATGGGTTTTCCAAAAAGTTACAGCTTTATAAAATATATGAATTAATAACAGTTGAAATTTACTACTTTAAGGATGAAATCGCAGAAATATTAATCCTGTTCTGTCTACATAGTCACTCCTTTGGATCCAGAACAACTGCCTTTTCAAGAACTGTATGTTTAAATTTGGAAACGTAGCGAACCTCTCACATTTTGAAACAGCAGTGCTTTCTCACTGACAGTGATCATGTTGTCAGCTAAATAAAACATTCTTAGCATAATGATACCCTACTGCAACCAATTTTTTAAATGTGGTGTATTGGTGAGAATACCAGCTGGGCTGGATGGTGGGGAAGTTCACAACTCCTGGTTTATGTCCTCGACTCTGTAATTGGCTGTACAGCCATGAGTAGGTTGTCTTAACATCTCTGTGTTTTCATGTGTTCAGCTTTGAAAAGGGCCTAGATAAACAAAACTATTTTACTTGCTATACACGCATAGAAGTCCACTAGAATAACATTCAATCACAAGGTATTTTTAGCTTTTTTGTTTAAAAAAAATATACAGAGAAGCACAGTTAGCATTCAGCCAGCTTTCTGTTTAAAAACTTAATATAAACATGTCCAATTATACAAGACGAGGAACGACTTCTCCATGTTACCTCATGAGCTACCTGTATGTTGAGTGAAAGCAGAGGCTTTTATTTTCAAGGAAAGAGACAATAGCAAAGAAAGAAACTGTTGACAGCAATCAGATGAAGTATGTGTGGTTAGACTTATTCTTTCCAAACCAAAGCAAATTTAAGTATTCCGAGGAATGAGAGAATTTAAGAATGGGGTAATAAAAAAACCACCTAAGCCTCTCTGAATTTCCCTCCTTCCTCTCCCTGAATTAAAGATGAACAGGTTAATTCCTTATTATGTGTCAAATCAGAATAAGCATTAGTCATCATGTATTAATAAAGAAATAATGTAATGAAGACAATTATGAGAGTACTTCATGAATCACTGTGGTTAAGGACCCCTTCTGAAGAATTAGTAACAGTTATTTTTAAAAAGAAAAAAGATGGTGTTCATAAGGTATTCTGTGGGCATTTTTTTCTATAATTTGCAACAAAATATATTACAGAGTTATTGTAATAATTTAGCATTCCTGTTGAAAGCTGCCTTTCTAGGATCTTGTTATGCTTTGCAAAAACAAACTGATGGTAAAACATCCTTGGAGAGTTGTTCTATCGTATTATTTACACTATGTAGTGAGAAATCTTGAGGTACAAATTGATAATGAGGTTTGCTCAACGTTTTCTAGAAAGTCAGTGGCAGAATCAAGAGGAAAACTCATATCTAATGACTCTCAGCCCAAGACCAGCCATTCCCATTATTTATGGGAACCATACTTCCCGTTATTTAATATTGTGCAGAGACTCATTGCCTATGAGCCAAACTGAGTAAGAGGGGTAATTATTCAGGGAAAAATATTAAAAGGCAAAGTTCAACCAGACTTGTTGACTTATTCATCAAAGTACAATGCAATGAAAGCTGTCCTAACCAAGTCAGCAATTGGTAAAACTTAATTTCCTAATACTAATGTAGGCCACTTTTAAAGATGGAAAAAATGTTAGAAATACTGGAAATAGTCAAACAGAAATTTTGTGTTGGAGATATTTTTAAGGCAGTTTCACTGTATGCTTTAATGGGTAAGTTGCCTCAAACTAAGACCACTTTCTGCAATGGTAGAAAGCGATAAGGCTGCATACTATGAAGTACAGTCATCGTTTGATCTACCAAAATATTCGTTTTTATTCATTCAGCTCAAGAGAATTAATAGTATTGTAACTGATACAGAAGACTCTGCTATTTTTGTGTATTCTACCTCCCTTGATAAAGCTTTTCCTAAAGCAAATCACCCATGTATTCAGGCTGCATTTTCTGTAAGTGAGATATCTTGATGTTTATTTTCCTAATGTGTTGGATAACCTTTTAGGTGAGAGGCGTAATTTATTGCATCAAAAGAATTCTACTGTGCTGTGTATTTGTCATACAGTCTAAGAAATGGTAACACCTTAATTTTTCATAGCGTTGTAGCTATCTTTCCCCTGTATAGCAGATTTTTATATTTCAACTTTCTCTTCTGAAAAGTAGACCTTGTGAATTTTCATACCATAATGATAAACATGTGGTAATTTGTTATACATATCAACTGTAGCCTCCCTGAAGGATATGCAACATAGTGTCTGTATTCCTTGTTTTCAAGTCAAGAGGTGCTGCCAAAGATTCATGAAGAAAAACACTACCCATGTGCACTGGTGGGGACTTGGAACACGTGGTACGGAGAGCAAGATCAGGCTGGTAGGAGATAGAAGTACAACAGAATGTAAAACCATACAAGTGAAACGTGTGCTTGGCAGGTTTCTTCTCTTTAAATCATCTCTGTTGACAGTAAACCTTTAGCAATGTATACAGTGAGGGTATGTGTGCATCAGTTATCTGTAGTCATATTAACATTTACAGTGCTTGCTTTTTGTCTTGTTGAGTTTGACAGTAGAGCTTCTGAATTCCTAAAATTTGTCCTATTGTTAATATACTTTCATGTTTTCCAGGTGATAGATAACAGTTTTGGGAAACGCTTGTAAAATGTGGTCCTGTAGTATTTTGCGGGCACAGATCATGTTCCTGAACATTTAGAGTAAAGGCAAAGGCTAACAAAGACAGAGTTTATCTTGCATTGGCCAGTGTAAAAGCTTTCCTCAGACTTTCATACTGTAATTGCTGTATGATGATGAAGTGCAAATCATTCATGCCATCTGAAGAAATTACTGCATTGTAAACACAACAATGAACTAGGCCTTTACTGGAGGAAAGTAAAAATATTTCTGTTCATATGCATCTAAAGATACTGCCTAACTATGAAGATTGAAAATATATTGGAACTAGAAATTACTGAAGAGCTGCTACAGAGGTAACTACAAAGAGTCTAGTGTAGAGAAAACACCTGAAAAATTTCCTAGGCTTTGGGAAATTGAATGGGAAGCCACGAATAGAGAGTGGTGTACTGACATTTGTTATGTCATTTGTTAGGTAGCTTCGTTGTTAGAACTATGCTAGTATCAATGCCATTGCTTCACTATGGAAAAATATACTCCCATACACATTAATTTTTCCTGCATTCACAGCATATTGCAATATTGACACTGAACAAATGCAAAGGAATAACAATAGATAAACCACACAATGTCTGAGAAACAATTCTAAAAGCTGAAGGGAAATTGGGGAATGAAGACAATTGAAATGAGAATATCGTAGCCAGGTCTCATTCGTTCCTTTTGTAACGTATTAACACAGACTATATCTGTAATTGCATCCGTAGCCTGCCTTGAAAATGTTATTGCAACAGTTCTAGCAATGTAATAAAGCAGATTATGGGGTTTTGACTTGTTCAGTGCTTGTGTCCAGGCTGTGTTAATATTAGGTGTATATATCAAATTTGCCCTGGGGATAAGACAGCAGAAGCAGGCGCACTGGATGAGTCTGTTATCTTAGTGAAGTGCCTTACATTAGTTTCCAGTTTGCTCTCCTGGAAAAGGCACAGGACTGCTTTAGAGGAGAGAAAATAGCCTTTGTGACTCTTTGAGGTGAAATATTGTTGCCTTGCTGCATTAAGTACTTGTAAATAAATCATGTTACGATTTATGAAAGAGAGAATGCTTTGAAAGAACTCGGGTACCTGTTCTGAAATTGCTTTTATGGGGAAAATCCTAGCAAATGTAACAATTCTAGCATGTTTAGGTATTTTCTGCTTTTTTTACTGCAATGTTTACTTTAAAAATAACATTTGCATAATTTTTCATGTCCTACAGAAAGTGTGTTGCTCTTTGTGCTTGAGTAGTTTACTGAACTAAAAAGTCTACCCCTCTGTTGCTCTTAGAAGTTGATATAAAACACATTTTTTGAATTAAGTCATTGTCTTAAATTGAATCTCAGTTTCAACGACAGTCATGTAAAGTCATCGCATCTTACTAGCATGGCAATAAAAAGTCCTTTCAGAAATTTCCATGTTATCTACAGAGTAGATTGCAAAATTTTCCAAGAGAACCCTTTTCAAAAAGCAGATGATTCAATTATTATTAAAATGTTCAAATGTGTAGTTCTTTCTTTAGTAAAAATCTATTTTTAAACCTGTTACATGATTTCTATTTTTGTGTAATTCTATACTATGAAGAGCAGTTTATACTGTGTTATTCCGTAAGATTTAGCAGTAGTCTGTGACATCCCTGAAAAAGCTTCCTTTTTTCTGTTTCAGTTCATCTGTGGAGATACGAGGGAGGCTATCCAGCTCTCAATGAGGTCATGAGTAAACTCCGTCAAAATAAGGTAAAATGCACTGATTTTGTTAGAATTGGTTATTTTACTCAGAAGAGAAAAAAGAATAGTCAGAGCAAAAAGCTGCATATTTGGATACCTGCTTTTATTTCAGTGTCTCATCGCTTCCTGTACAAACTTAGACACCTCTTTGGAAAAGGGTTTATTTTCATATTCAGAAATACTGAGATTCAATACCTGAATACTTTATGAAACACACTTAGTGCTGTGTAAACATGCCACTTGAAATTTTAAAATATGCCAGGGGAATTTAGATGCTTTTACAATTTAAAGCATTTCAGTGTCCCAAAACCCCAAGATAGTATTAAAAAAAAATCTAAGCCACCATATGGTATACTGCTTTTTATTGTTGAAACACAATACACAGATTGACAGTGATTGCATTGTTTTTTAGGAGTTCACAGAGTTTCGCAAAGAAAGAGGTAACATGCTTCTCTCACGCAAGAACCAATTATTGTTGGAGTTTAGTTTCTGGAACGAACCTGTTCCCAGAGAGGGGCCTAATATTTACGAATTGAGATCCTATCAACTTAGAGTAAGTTTAAATTTTTCTTTTTATTTTTTAAGCTGTATGGTGTTTTAAAATGTTCAAAGCATGTTTATACAATGGAGATAGAAAACAGAACTCATCTTAAAAATCTGGTTCTTATCAAAGCTGATGTCTGAGTCATTGTTGCTCTCAAAGTGTGGGGTCCAAAATGAAGGCAGGCTCCAACAAGATACTAATATCTGCAGGGTTGAAAACCTTGGGTTTTCATTTGAAGGAAACTTCAGGCAAATGACTAAGAAGTAATACAGTTAGTAAACAGAGTAATTACAGATGATTATAATATGCTTATCACTTGAAGGAAGTGATTTTGTTAATACGTAGTGTTTTCCATACATAAATGTTGTGAAAACTGTCGAAGTAATTCTAACTTTCTTTAAACTACAGTTTTAACACTCTGTTTTGTTTTTGTAGCCTGGAACAATGATTGAGTGGGGAAATTACTGGTAAGTGTTGCTTTAGCACTTGCATTCTCCTATTTGAGAGATGTGTGTTTAAAAATCATGAAGCGCAGGTAGCAGAATGGTACCAAAGCATTTCAGTTACCCAGTTAATGGCCTGCTTCAGTACTTACACAACTTGTAAGACAGTTCTTCAACCCTTTATTTATCCTTTGAGGAAGGAAAGAGGAATTCTGTGTGCAAACAACATTGTGAGCTCTGTGGTTTGGCTTTCCTTTACATAACCCTTTTAGTTTGCTGTAATATAGCAGAAGCCATTTATTTTCAGCAGAAGGCACTGTTTAGTGAAGAGTGGTGATCAACTCCTTGAGACTGCGTTGATCTTTCTCAACTTCTACAAGACCACTAGAAGCTGACTTACTTTAGTCTACATGGGCTAAATGTTGGCTCTTTTATTCTGTGAAAGTCAAGTTGTTTCTTGAAAAGCTATTGAGCAGCTCATTTGTATTTTAATATATAGATTAAAAGCATGTGAGACAGTCTTCTCTTGAGTATATGCTTCTGATTTTGACTTACTTAAAACCAGTGTTGAAGTTTCTTTCAATTTACATTCACTGTCCTTGCAATTCTAATGGTTGAGAGTTAAACAATTTGGAGTATTTCCAATTATTTTGACAAAGGTGAGGGCTTCGATTTTTAGACCTGTCATTGTCATTGATATAATTTATTTAATTACAGTAATTTGAATAAAGTCAATTGAATTTAGAATTTTTATAAAATAGGCGTATCTACAGTGGTAGCCGATCTGTTTTAGAAGATGCAACAGATTTATAGTTAAGAGAAATGTTGATGTTACTTACACAGCAAATCAGAGAGTGTTGCATAGGACAGCTGCATAGCAAAGGTCTATGTGCATAAAAAAGTTGTATTCCACTACCACAAAATCTGTGGTAAATGAGCATGGTAAAGGTGATATGAGTGAAACTCAAGGATTTAATTTTAGAAGAACCTAGAAAAGGTTCTATAAAAAAGGCCTGCCACTGTACACTGTTCCAGCAATTGTCGTTGTACTGAATCTAATTTTGAGGAATGATTAATACACAGTCTAGTGAAACTGTAGGCTTCCAATTTTAACTTATTCTAACAAGATACATAGGTATATTTTAATTACTTAGTGCTGAAAACCAGTGTATTGCAGTTTTTTTTCTTATTTTTCATTGCTGACGTTTACTGCAAATGCCGTTTAACATTTTTGCTTCCTTTGAACTCTGTTTTCCTTTCAATTATCACTTATTTCGTACCCAGATCTGCTGTTTTTAATAGCTGCTTTGCTCTTCTGTAGGGCTCGTGCGATTCGTTTCCGACAGGATAATAATGAAGCAGTTGGAGGATTTTTCTCACAAATTGGACAGCTGTATATGGTTCATCACCTTTGGGGTAAATTTGTGTTCTCTTGCTTTTTTCTCGCTGAATCAGCCCCTAACAGACTGTTGACTTTGCCCAGGAGGCAAGGTTTTTAGAAAAGGCAAAGGAATGTCTTAAAAGGTTTTTTTTGTTTGACATAAACAGTGTTGATTTTCTTCACTTTTGTGTAGATGACTTTATTCTTCAAACAAGTGAGCAGAAGTGAATGTTTCATGTTTTGTTCTGTTTCCATCAAGGGTTTCTCATGGCCCTTTCTCATTAGGGACTACTTGTTTGCTTTCAGTAACATAAGGATGACAAGCTGTGTCCTGCCATCTCTTTTCCCGATCCCCATTCATGCTGAAGTCAGGTTTTTACAGTTTTAAGTATCGCATATACCACACCTACAAAAAGCAAAGTCAAGCATTTATTTACATTACTACATCATGGTGTTTTGGCTTTCTCTGTGTGTTAGTCACCACAACTGCTTAGCTGTTTTTCACGTTAGGATTGTTTCAACTTGAAGAAACTCATTGTCTAATATATATTTTAGAAAATACGCAGTATTATCTTCCTATCTCGACAATTTATCATATTATATTCCAGCATTAGGAATCTGACACCACTCATGTAGAACTGTACTTTGTTGCATTATCTGTCTTACCTGTGTCTAAGACATTCTCTCTTCCCCCAGTTCCTTCTGTTTGCGTTGGTTTGGGAGCTTTTCCTTTTTGTAGAGAAGAACAACTGACTTTTTTCCTTCCTGATGTCTGCAGCCTCTTAATTATGCACTAGAATACTTTTAAGGGAGCTATTCACGTGTAGGAGGAAAAGGAGTTACTTCTAAGCTTTCTGCTTGTTGTTTTCCCTCACCAGCTTACAAAGATCTCCAAACCAGAGAAGATATAAGGAACGCTGCGTGGCATAAACCTGGCTGGGATGAACTAGTCTATTACACAGGTAACCTATTAACTTCATTGGAATGCTGGCGGTAGACTTTTGTGCATGCCATCATTTTTGTTCTTCAGTACATTGCACAATGATAAAAAATTTTGCATCTCTGGTGTTTGTGTCTGTGTGTTGGTTTTTCTACTGTAAGGAAAAGGAGGGACATTTCACTAAGCTGTAAAGGAAATTTTGCAATTGATCGTACAAACTTGGAAAAGTCACCTAATTGCTAAAAAATTGCTACATTAATAGTAATTTTTTATACAAGCACCCCTCCTGTAGAAGATTTGTGTAAATGGTTACGTTTGTGTCCAAAAATTCAGGGAGCCAATAGTGAAATTTGTCTTTATATTAAATTATTACCTTTAATATTTCATGAAACACGGAGACCTTGTTAAATGCATTCCTTGGAAAGGGAATTTAGACTTTGGAACTAGAAGCCAGGAGATCTTTGAGGTCAAAGATAGCTTTCATAACAAAACTCACAGAAGTATGCTAAGCATGTCAGATTTTGGTTCCATAGGGTACATTTCAAAGGAAGTATACCAAAAAAATGTAAGATAAATTTCATTGTGGTGAAAAGGAATAGAAATATTTGTCTTCAAAGGAGCAGACAGATTATATTAAAAACTCGCTTGTTCTCAAAACTACTATGCTTCAGTTACAGGAATGTTGGTGGTTACTGATGACTTGGCATACACTAGCTAGGAAAGTAACTTGAAGACAATAATATCTGTTCCAACTGAGTGTGCAGAACTGCTAATATCTCTGCTAGTGAAATTAAACCCTGTCTCGATTTTTTTTCAGTGCCCCTCATTCAGGAAATGGAGTCCAGAATCATGATACCATTGAAGATTTCTCCGCTTCAGTAAAGTCACTGATTTACTTGTGCCTACGTAGATAAAGTGACAAGTATTTGTCTTAAATTAATTTATGGTATACATTGTATATCATAGTCTGAAATATAAAAGTACTGTATTGAGCTTATAAAAAGAGACCTCTTTTCTTCAGAATCTAATGACATTTTGCTCATAGGATTGTACCAGGAAGAAAAGAAATACAGGACTGTAATTAAAAGGTTGGTTAATTGAAAACAAGTACAAAGACATATAAGTTCCTCTGTAAGACAGCTCCTCAGGTTCAGTAAGGCATACAGTATTTAATATCTTCTGCTATATAGACAATGCCCAGTGTTCAGTAACAGCAACAGAATGGAGTGTTAGGGTCGCTGTGGCCTTTGTGTAGCATTATAATGACTGCAGATTTTAAAAACAAACGTGGGAGTTCTGAAATCAGAAGCTCTGAAGCCCGCAGGCAGCTCTGAAATACACCTAGCTGTTCTAGCAGGCCTGAAATCAGTAGGTAGTTCTAAATTTACAAATAGACAGTCATTAATTGAGGATAATACTCTTTGTCAGGTGATAGCTTATGGACACAGAATAGGGCATTCTGTTTTGCAAGGACTCTGAAGCCTGTTGAAACTAATGGCACATTTGTGTAGATATCTACACCTGAAATTAGTTTGGTGAACTATGACCTACGGTTTTCAAAGAGATGCTGACAAGACACGTTTGTCTGAACATTCTGCAGGGAACCAAGTTCAGTTAAATACATTTCTCTCTACAAATAACCTGGAAGTCTAGGAAGAGGGGTTTAATTTAATAAGCAATCATGACTTCAGACATACGCGTGGTCGGGTGTTTCACTAACTGTACAGTAAGTACTTACGAATTGATGTGTGAAACTGGCGCATGTTGAGTCAATAGGATTGGCATAAAGCAGTGTACCATTATGTCCAGTTCTATTTTGGTTTCACTTTTAGACTAGAATATATCAACACTTTTGGTGTCTGCAATGATGTGAACATCCTGTAAGTGAAAATAATATTCTTTCTTTAAAGTGGCTGCAAGAATCAGTGTAACATACAGAATGTACAAATCAGTTACTGAATGTCCAGTTTGTACATTTCAGTGAGTTTTCAGGAAGAACATATCAGTCAATAAAATCCTTTTAATTTTCACATTTTACTGGAACCTTATATGTATTGCACCACCTGTGTTTTCTCTCATCTTGCAGTGTTTATTATGGAAAAGTTGAATAATTGCATAGAATATTTCAGCTTAGTTAGACAATATCAATTCTCTGTGTCAGGGACAGCATTTCCCAGTATTCTGCTCTCCTCCAAAATGAATTTACAATATCTCCATTACATCCCATTTTGCTGAGTGTTCTAGAGGCCGTAAGCACTGTGGTGATAAATACAAAATTTTTTTTCCTTTTGATTTACTCCATCAATTATGCTTCATTTTTCAGGTCTGATTTCTTCTTTTCTACCCATGTGAAATACACTGCACTCTTGCCTTTGCTTGAATTGCATCTTGAACAAAGTCAATATTTGATCTGATTCTTGTCTGTTTCCATATTTTCCTCCTGTTGCCAACTGATTATGGGATTTTACTGAGTGAAATTCTGTACTATTTTAGCTTAGAGTTCTTAGCTTGCCTTACTGAGTGGGCCAAGTACATCATTTCAGCTGTTCCTTCTTGTAAATCAGTCACGAGCGGTACTATCATCTGGGGCTGTCGTTTTTCCAGACTACTCTTTAGCTCCAAAAGGGTTATTTCTCACAGTATCCTTCCATATTTCTTGTTCCTGGAGAATTGTCCTTTAACTTAACTCCTCATAACCAGTCAGAGGCAAAAGGCGAAAGATATTTTTGGAGTTAGGGGATTTTGTGGGTTCTGATGCAATCCCTGTTTCTTACCTTCAGCCAGGAGCACTAGGAATTAAATTGTCAGGCAGAAGTTTTGTTGTTTAAGGGCCATGAAGTTTTGCATGAATAAGAAATCTAGGGAATAACTGGATGTTCTGCGGAGTGACATCATATGGCACAAGTCTCTTCAGTCTCTGTACACTACCCAAGATCTGAATTCCCACTAGTGTTGTAAGGTATTACGAATGTGCCTCCAGTCCTTCTAGGCTTCAAACTCATGCTCTTGCTGTCATCAGAGAGATTAGTTCCTGTTATTTTAGTTACAGATAGCTATGTAAACTCATCGAACATAACACAGTAGATAAGTAATGCCAATCTTTCCTTGCTTCCTTTCTGAAGTTGGTTTTCCCCTGTTGTGAACACTGTTGTGATTTTTTCCTCTTAATTTCATGGCCAAGCCTGCCTTCTTCCTTTGACTAACAATGCTTCAGCATTTCTTAGAGCAGAATTTGTGGAGTTCAGAACTGAAGTTGCTTTCCCATGGTTGGAAAGTGGGGAACAATGCCTGGAAGGGACAGTCTCTGGTATTACCAATTATCAATTCTTGTTCCACTGTAATGAAGACACAATTAAAACTTGTTTAGTCGTTCTGTAGTCTTCTTAGAAAAGACTGCAAACTGTTCTTCTAAAAAGTCCCTTCATGCAAATTGAATATATAACTTAAAGCAATTCTGCCTCACTGAATAATTGTATTAAAATAAAAGGCCTTATATGAAGCGGTTTACCTCCCCACGCTCTTAGTCAAGGAGACCCACCTGAAGAGCAGATACTACTTGCCTGATGTGTGCTACTCGCCAGACTTTGCTCTACTGTGATGGGATACGTTCAGGTAAATTGGTAGCTTGGTTGCAACATTGAAGCTTCCCTCACGTTCCTTTATTCCCTGCTATTTTTTTCCAGTATTTTACAGACAAAAGAGCTTAGCCACTCCCTAAGCTCAGTAATCCTTTTGGTACCCCCTGGACTAGAGGTCAGGCTCGCTATTTGCCCAGTGGAAGGGGGGTGGTATTTTTTTCAAACCAGTCAGATCTAAAGAGCTCTTGTGAAATCACTGGCACAACGCCATGTTCCCATAGCACTCAGCCTGGCAGAAGATACTGCCGTGAATGTTAACATCTCTGTGGCACAGAGCCTCCTGCAGAGTCTTCTGACTGTGGCATTAGAGAAATTGCGTATACTTGAAGTGAAGCGTGTCACAGTGTAGGATCAGGGCCTGTTAGCTATAGCTGATTAGCAGGATGTTAGATTGTGGTGGTTTTTTTTAGTGGCCTTTTAATTCAATAGAAAACCAGCAAACAGAGATGCTTCTGCTTCGTAACTGTAGAATTGCAGAGGAACACACTGAGAGTAGAAAGAGTTTCTACTTGTTCTACTCATGCAGTCTTGACTAAACAAAAGCATGATTGTACATGAGCTGCCCTTGGAGCTGGCTGAGATTTTTCTCAGGAAGAATTTAAAAGAGATCATCTTTAGTACTCCCAAAAGGGTTCTGATGAGCAGCCTGCCAACTATTGTCTGTCTTGGCTTTTGTTAAGTTTGAATTTTAAACTCTGTATACCGATATTCAGTGTAGCTGTTTATATGTCTGCCTTTCTCTAAAAAGCCATCAGAAGTTTGCTTCTGGATTTGTTTTCTTTTAACCCTTGTACTTCTCTAGTATTTAAATGCTGTTGTAACTTCAAGCAATTATTGCCTCACTTTTTTTGCCAAAAAGATTAGATGGCATCACTGAGAGCTACCATTCATCACTCCCTGTGGCTTTGTTAACTCCTCGTTCCCCTATATCCGCCCTGATGATGTCTCAGAATGGACAGAAGCAATATTCAATTGTTGGTGATGCTTAAACAATTGGAGAGGTGCTCTCTCGCTGCACCTTGATTTAAGGTGCAAGCTGTGAAAA